AGGCTCGTTTCATGGCCCAACAAAGCAAGCCCCACTTCTGCTTTACTAGAACCAGTAACCGGGCTCGTTTTATGGCCCAACAAAGCGAGCCACACATCTGCTTTACCCAGTAACCAGGCTCGTTTCATGGCCCAACAAAGCAAGCCCCATTTCTGCTTCACTAGAACCAGTAACCGGGCTCGTTTTATGGCCCAACAAAGCGAGCCACTTATCTGCTTCACTAGAGCCAGTAACCGGGCTCATTTTATGGCCCAACAAAGCGAGCCACACATCTGCTTCACCAGAGCCAGTAACCGGGCTCATTTTATGGCCCAACAAAGCAAGCCACACATCTGCTTCACCAGAGCCAGTACCCGGGCTTGTTTTATGGCCCAACAAAGCGAGCCACTCATTTGCTTCACTGGAGCCAGTAACTGGGCTTGTTTCATGATTTGTCTAATTTTATGCTGTAGGTTGTTTTTTTCCTGCTAGTGTACACTGGTGAGGATTCTCATACCACTCATCTAGTACACAATACATTTATTTTAACCAGTGCCAAAAAGGAAAGGGCAACTTTCTGCTCTGTCCTTTCCTCCCTGATGCCATCTCTGTACTGAGTACTGTCTTGGGATCTCAGCATATTGTGTTTTTACAAAGGCAACATCATTTATATTTCTATGCATTAAATTTCTATAAATAACATTCTTGCTTATGACTAAGAATATTTTTAGATAAGATTGTAGGAGGTTTTAATTTTTTTTTCTATCCAAAGTTTGAGGTTGCCTTTAAATGATGCCAAAAATATAAGACATTAAGTCAGTTGAGTTGCATCTTGGTGGGAGTACTCACTAGGGTCAGCAAACATTCCCATAACTCTCTTGCAACCTTCACAAAGATAGAGACTGGATGCTTGCTGGGGTGTTACACAGCATCCAGATGTTATACGACTGCGCCTACTGTTCACTCAGGCCAAGGGCACCAGTGCCATAAACCCAAAATGTCGATACTGAGTGATGGAGATGCGTGAGATTGTGTGACAGTACAATCAACAATGGCCCCTATTCACCACACCACGCTGGTGCTTTCCAGCTAGAAAGCAAAGACAGGGAGACTGGTGAGAAGGACAATGCCCCGACTATTGATGGTGCACATTGTGTAGCTATTCTAGAGAGTTACTGGTGTCAGGAGGAGTGACACGTTGGATGGGGCAACCATTGTCACCTGAACCCCTGACACCCCATTGTACTAAAAATAATGACTTTCGTTACCGTAATGTCAGCCTTCACCACAGGAAACACCTGAACATGAGAGGCGTTAATGCTACTGCTAATGTGACGTTTCTGAAATATTGGCCTTGAGTGGCTTGAGTGTTTAATACATTTTCAATGTACTGTATTTTTTCACGTTATGGAAAGCATCTACCTTTTATGACAGAGACATTGTGTAGCATTTTAAGTTACTATTTCTACTAGTTGGTGTGATATTGAACTCAAGCAAACCTTTTAAGTTCAGCTTTTATCTTCTTGTGATTGTGTCACCATGACAGGCTGCAAAAGGGTAGCATCGGAACGGGAAATGCATGGGAAATCATGCTATACAATAGTGGTTTGTTTTCTAGCAATGGCACCCAAGCACATAGAACATAATGTGCTTAGTGATGGATCACTAACACAGACACACCCTGGACCACCAGGATCAGGGCTGGAGCGCAGAGCAGCCAAGCACAGGTTTATGGAGTTTTCTTCATCTTCACACTGTAATTTGCATGTTGCGAGCATCATACTTTGAAACTTGGGACCTGTTACCCAGCCACGTTTCTGCAACAGCAGCTCGTCTCTGCGGATGGGGACCCATTCACCAGGTTAACCAGAGGCAGCACAGAGGGCAGAGCTCAGTGCTTCGTATGAGTGGGTGGGGGGGCAGTTTACCACAGCTGGGCCGGGCTGTTTTTAGCCAGCACAAGCTGACCAGCTGAAAGCGAGAGTGTTAGCACACAGACTGAAGGTCAGGGGGAGTATCAGTGGCAGGAAGTACACAGCTGCCAGACTCGGCCCAGGTTACCGCGGCAATAAGGAACATGCTGAGTGACACCTGGCTGGCCGGTACAAACCGGCCGGTAGAAAATTACAGAGATGAGGAGAGGCCAGTATAACAGGCGGGTTAGAGTTAGGTCTGTTTAATGGCGGTGGGATAGAGTTACACTTGTTGAATTCTAACAGTTGCGGGAAGTCATGTTTTTTTAATGATGTATTCTTACTAATACAGTATGTTGTTTTCATTGTATATAATTTGGTAGGCTCTGGTGCTGCTCCTTAAGATGGGGAATTGAGTTTTCTTTGAAGGATAAGCTGCAGAAGCACTGGATAAATAATGACATCGACTCCCTTCCACTTCAGCCCATTTTGTTGGCTTTTCATCATCCTCATAACAGACACATGTTCTGGTACTTTCTGAATGCATGACACATGAGGAATGCATCCTGTGTGATTTTCAGCTGAAATACTCAGCGAATCAATATATTCTTGCATACCTGGATTTCTACCTGGGTGGCTATACTGATATCAATAGAGTGGTCCTATGTACTGTAAGATGAGGTTGTTAGCAGTTAGCTGCCAATGTGCTTTTACATTTACCTGTTGTCTAAAGTGACCTTGATCACTGACACTGGGGATCATGTGGCCCAGAGAAGCGGGGCCATATGAGAGAAGCGGATGATGACATTACAGAGACATGCTTTGATGTGACTCCGGCCACACAGTGCCAAAGTCAGACCAGCAAAGTGCTTTTATTTTTCTCCACCCCCACCCTGGGGCACAGTGAAGGTGACATTTTCTCTACGCTTGAATGTTTTCTCCCTTCTGCTGAAAAGTTCAACAACAAAACAACCTTCACTGCAGCGGCTGTGGAAGGCGATGGCAAATGCCACTTACGGTCAGGTGACACCGTGTGGGTGAGCTTGGGGACAGTCTCAGTACGCCAGGGCTCCAGGGTATGGTTTTGGAGACCTTCGTCTATTTGTCATCAGCCCTGAAAAGGAATCACCCTCACTGTCCTCTGTGCCACAAAATACACAAAAACATGCACAAGGCTATCCAGCATGTTGTAAACTTACCCCTGGCTTACGTAATCACACTGGATCTCCTGTATATGAGACTTTGTCATTGATCTTCGCAAAATAAAGCTCTTCCAAAAATGGAGTAATTACTAACTGAATACTGTTACATGTTCATTTAATTGAGCTCTATTGGCTCAGTGCCACACAGCCATATTCACTGGTTTGAGTGGAAGTTCTCTGTTTTTTCAAAAGTATCTTTAGATAAGCAAGAGGGCAAATTAAGTATTATCCGACTTCTTACATCATCAAATCAGACATATTTTATGTTGGGGGCCGAGAATCTCGATCCGTCGAGGGCCACATTGTTGGTTTTCCATTACCACAGTGAAAAATGGCATGCAGGAACCAGAGCGACTGGTTAAGCGGTATGCCTTCAAGTTCTAGAAGAATGCTTCATGTGTGCTGTTTATAAATGTTTTTCATTTATAGTAAATGTTGTAATGGATGAAATACCAGTGGAGAGGCAGGTGGCTGCTGAGGGGCTTGCTAATGTTCTCCTGCACTTCATTGGTGTATCACCTTCACAGCAGTAGCTGCATTATGCAAATAGCTCCTTAGTGGCTATTGAATTTCCGTTTTCTGGCATTTTTTAAACCTGTCAGATTTCTTTGGTCAGTAATAGTTTTCAAGTGGTTTGTATTTGTGCTCTTGTGGGCTTTGTTGTTGCATTTATAACTGGCCAGGTCATTTGCAAATCCAGAATCCTGCTGAGGTAAGATCAAGGTTACCATTGTTACATCAAGCTTGTTAATTGTCTTCATCTGATGGCATTTGGATGCTGTGGAGTAGATAAGGCTGCTTCGTACCTCTCTGGGCAAGCACAGCACTCACGTATCCACTCTGCGTATGCATACATGGAAACGTTCATAGTTTTCTGGTCAAGCCGCGTACTTTTCACATGCGCACAACGTGTTGTATTTATATTTTTAATAATAATGACATAAATTATTATTCTGATATTCCCTGCACACCTACCATAGCAGGGAGGTTTGTGTCCGTTTCCCTATGGCCCAATCCAAAGCTATACCCTTGGCACTCCACCTTCATTACCAGTCACACTCATTAGTCGCCCTCACAACACGTTCAATGCACCTAAACCGAAGGAAATTTTAGCAAGAAAGATTTGGGACAGACTCACCCTCGCCCTGCCTTTTTCAGTCTTCTTTACAGGAAAGAGGAAATGTGTTATCTTGTGAGAAATGGCTCCCTCATGGAGCTGTATTGGTGTTTCTTTAAATCAACAATATAGGAGTTACAGTGTAAACCGTTAATTGTGATCATGTCTGTCTGGGTGGAATTGGTCAGTATAAGTGGATGATCATTATAACCATTTTTTTCTTTATGTCTCAGGCAGATTACCATCTAAATGACATTTGTATTTTTATTACATGAGTAATAAGACAGCGTTGCTATTTAGTGAGGTCATTTGCCAGAATCAGATGGGTTACCGCAAGGCAAAGTAAACAAGTAAAAAAAAAACGTAGTTTTAATTTTTCTGTATGTTGTCATGTATAAAAAGACCCAATATGAACAATATGACCTCACATGATTACTTTAAGCGAATTTTTAAAACAGTATTGGTATAAGAATGATTCTCTCCCAGGCTTACATATAACCAGTTGATCACTATGACTGTTGGATGGTTTCCACTATATTAAGAAAACCAAGAAGTTTATCCACTGTGAGAAGATGAGGCTGATGTGGTCGTATCACACTGATTGAACAATCTGAAATATGTACAGATTTTAAGTTCATTTTATGTTACACACACACACAGGTTTGTAAATATATGTTTATGGGGACTCTCCATTCACTTCTATGGGGAAAACTTTAATCCCAACATGACAACCTTAACGCCTACCCAGCCCTAACCTTACCCATACAATATACAAGACTTTTGGCATTTTTACTTTTACTTTTTTGATTGCATTCACAGATCTTTGTGGGGACCTGAAAAATTATCCCCACAATGTCAAAAAGTTTTTATTACATTGTGGGGGACATTTCGTATATATAAATATAGGATAAGATAATATAAATATATAAATATAAATATAATATAAACCTAATCCACACACACACACAGTAGTCCGCCCCGTATCCGCGAGTGATACGTTCCAAGACCAAAACCGCGGATAATGGCAAACCATCCATGGACACCATACTGTATATAACGTAAATTTATACATTATAATGAATAGGCATTATTGTCATGCCTGTTCATCTTGTGAAAATGAACTTTATTAAAAAAAATGTCATATTCATAACATATGCTTGTTAATACTAACTTTTATTATAATATGTAATTGTGTTCTTACATTTATATGACAATACATCATCCTCAGCATTTTTATCTCGCTGTTCTGTTTCCTGTGTGCAAAGCATTGTGGGATATTGAAGTGGTAGGGGAGTTGCGTGAGCCCCCACCACTGCTGACTCGCTTCAGGGGGGCATAATGGAGCACTCCCCCTTAGCCCTTGCTGCTTTGAGACTCTTCAACATGGCGACAGGTCTTGAGGATGTGCAAACGAAGGCGGAGTGGTGAGGCGGAGTGTGTAGGGACCGGTTTGGAATTGGAGAGCCAGCTCACAGGGATGCCAACTTTGGTCAGCTGACTAGCGTGAGATTGGAGAAAAATATGCACTCACACACGCATTTACGCATGTATGTAGACGTTTTATTACCTTGTAAATAGTCTGTAGGGATTGCAAACTACCCCAACGCTTGTCAGAAGCATCCATGTTGGTATTTAAAGTGGACGCTAGCGAATCGATCATGCGCAGTGTGTCCAGAGCTGAGTGTACACCACTATGCGGACACAAATTTGCAGTGCAGTAGGTGCTCGTCCACGGAGGCGCACGGTGTCGTTAAACGCATCACAAACATTCAGCAGACGCGTCCGATAATACGTGTGCGGAGAAGTATGAACCAGCTTTTAGTTCTGCAGCAGTTAGCCTAGCCTTATATTTTTTACATCTTTCAGCCTGGCTTGGCCTTTTTCTTTCTTGGCACATTAGTGGAGAGTCAGCAATTGCCCGTCTTTTGTTTTACCTTCCTGTTAGAAATTGATTACACTTAGTAGGGTAGCACTAAATCATAACTCTAAGAAATGAAGAGCTGTTCTATAAACAGCAACAATACCCTGCAGCCATCAAGCCCCCCTACAAATGCTCTATATAAGTGCAAACTAATTGTACCAAATGCTGTCATAATCAAGTAATTAACAGTGCTGCCAAAGTCAGTCTGGACAACATCAAGGGAGCCAAACAGTGACTCTGCCTGTCTGTCCTGCTCTTTAGGACGCCTCCATTGCTCACCGGTTCCACCTGATGAGGGAGAAGCACCCGGAGAAGTTTAACAGCAGGTGAGAGGGACAAGCTGGAAGCCTAATGGGCTGGTAGGGCAGGAAGAACAAGTAGAAGAGCATGAAATATGGAGAGCTTCCAGAGGATTAAGCATTCCAGCGTGTTCCCTGACATGGTGTCAGACGATCCTCAGCACGAATGATGATGCTCAACATCGAGCAGCATCCCGAGAAAACGAGCAACTCGTGGCCAACGTCATTCAGCTTTCATGGTCTTAGAAATGAGAAATTGGTTTTTGCAAAGTGTATCAACTGTCCAGGAACACCAAACAGCAGTTTTTGTCCCAAAAATGCCACAGAACATATAATGTACAAAGCTAATGTACCAATGTAGCCACATTTAATGATTTAAAAATAACATAAACTGAGACAGAAACTCGTAATCTATTGGTTTGTGACCAGCCCGTCGTTCTCCTTCTTCCCACCATGGAGGTGCCTGCAGCCTTTAGTAGTGGCCGTTGAGGCGTGTGCAGTCATGAAGAATCTGTCTTGGGTGATGCCCTGCAATGACCCAGGCATCTGGGGCATGTGAGGAGATCTAGGGAGACAGAAGCTGAGGTGGACGTCTGCACACTAAAGTGAATGATTTGTTAGGGGTCCATTGACTGCTTAGAGGCACATGGTTAAGGTGGTTTAGGGATGTGTGGTGTTTTCAGATTGCACCACATCAAAGCTTCCCTTTTATTCAGTTTTTATTCAGAATTTTGGGTTAAAGAAAGAGACATAAGGCCAGATACAGGCTCACAAAGCTCTTTAGATCAATGCCAGGGTCTTAAAATGCAGTAATTACCCAAAATTAATTCCCTTGGAAACTCCTCTGAGTAGAGGGTAATTTATTTTTAGTCTTGCTGTAGACACATTTATTCAAAGAGACTATTTTATACCTTTGTTTGACAGCTGGCCTTCCACCCTGCATGAAGCATAATGACTGATGAACTGTACCTTCAGGAAAGATCAACACTTCAGCTTATAAGTTGGTTTGAATAATTTAGTCTCTTATAGAGAGTGGATTGTATAAGTTAAGCATTGCCAAGGCACATCTTTGTCATGGGTGCTAGAGCCTTTGGGATTTCAATTCTGCTGCTTGGACACCCCTCCTTTGTGCCTCGGGCAGGGTGTTGCATGTCCTCGTTCCTTTTGTGTGTGTCCCCCACGCCACCTCACCCCTTCCTCCACCTCAAGGACAATGAGGTATGTGTGAGGCTTGTCTCGTCCAGCAGGGGTATTCGACCACATATGGGACGGCCAGGTAGCTATTACTAGCTGGGGTGTTAATTATGGCTCATCTGGATGACAAAGACGACGGTGTGTAATGAGTGCCATCAGGGGCCTCGGAGGGCAGAAGACCCTTCAGGTTAAGGGGAGCTGCATTTATCTCCAGCCTTCAACCTGGCTGCCTTCCTGCTTTTATTATAATTGCAACAGCAAGGTCTTAGTCAATGAGAATCCCAGAGCAGAATTACAGTTAGGAGCTGGATTGAAAAGCTGTTCTTATAGAGAGTATAAGGCCCTTTGGTCGAGAAAGATCCCTCTATTCTGGGAACACCTCAACCAATGAATTGCTCTGTCTCATCTGTGATCGCTGTGCTGGTCTCCTGCATGTCCCTAATGCTCTTTTCAGTGTTTTACTTTGACTTAATAGCTCTACTGTCTCATTGGCTTCTTGCTATGTTTGTTCTGAATTGTGTAGCTCAGGCTCTGGTGCTAACTAGCACTTTGTTACTGGTTTCTCACTGGAAGCTCAGCCTAGCTGCACTGACCGCCTAGCTGGCCCCTTGATTCTCACTGGAAGCTCAGCCTAGCTGCACTGACCGCCTAGCTGGCCCCTTGATTCTCACTGGAAGCTCAGCCTAGCTGCACTGACCGCCTAACTGGCTCCTTGATTCTCACAGGAAGCTCAGCCTAGCTGCACTGACCGCCTAGCTGGCCCCTTGATTCTCACTGGAAGCTCAGCCTAGCTGCACTGACCGCCTAGCTGGCTCCTTGACAGCTGTATGCTCGTGAGGTACTGTCTGCCTCATTTGTATGTGACTTTGGACAAACACAACTGCAGCATAAATAAATATAAGATGTAATGTAAATGATGAATTAATATACCATCCGGTTGGACTTTCTGGAAGCACAGTCTGTGTATCTGTTAATATAGAGAAGCTGGATTTAAAATATGTGCAATTTCTCTGTTTTCCATCTGCCTTATATAACATTTTCTGTTCCCATAACTGCTTTCTCTACGCAAACTAGCACATTCTGCTTTCTAGACGTTCAGCAGCCGGTGAGTCACCCCATAGTGCCTGTGCAGAGGCTCAGGCTAAGCAGAGAGATCCCTTTGTGTAAAGCACAGCATCTGGTGTGCACAAATATGCCTCAGCACCCAGCCCCTGCAACCGTGGCCCCCACCTTTCCTGGCTTTTCACCATGCGTTTGGGAATAGCTACTCAGCAAGCAGGACTTAAATGGGGGGGGAGGGCAGTGATATGCCCTTAAGCCAAACGCCCTTCATTTTACTGACAAAGTTTAAGGTCTGGAGGTTGTAGAAATAAGGAAATATTATAAATGAAATGTATTGGCACTCCTCACTTAACGACCAAGTTCCATTCCTGTGTCATTAAGTGAATTGGTCGATGAGCGAGTAGCCGCCCCTTATGGATATTTCAAGCATAAGAATAGAGGAAATCAGCTCTAATACATTACTTAGGTTTGCATAATGTAAATACAGGTAATTGTTTTTATTTATTCTGAATGAAGAAAAGGTCTAACCGAGACATCAATTTGATCACATTGTTATAATTTGCATAACTCTGACATATTACAGAGCATAAAAATACAAAAAAATCAAAAATCATAAAAAAGAGCATAAAAAAAAAAATCTGCAAAAATGATACAAATTATGTACCAAAAAAATTGTGGGAACTGAGACTGAGAGGGTGATGCGAGATGAGACACTTGATGCTGAGGCGCCACGCTGCCGTTTCCATAACCAAAGTTCTCGTACACTGTACAATACCAACTGATGGGAGAGCTGGTCGTAAGTCCGGGCGGTCATTACATAGAGAGGTCGTTAAGTCAGGAGGACCTGAATGTTAAAATGGCGGTGTTCTCTCATGGCCTCGCTTCATTCCTGCCCCTCTACAGAGCTTTCCCTCCTCCACTCCGCCATGGTGCTCTGAGGAGAGGCCCCCTCCTCTGAGGGGCCGCGGGCCTGCAGGTGCGCCACAGGCTCCCTCTCTCTCAGCCCGCGCACGTGGGCTTGTGTTTCGTAACTCCTGCTCTGTCATGGCGCCCAGCCCGGCGTGTGTGTCAGTACGCCAGCGAGGCCACGTTGGGAACCTGCAGCGCCGTGTGAAGCCTGCAGAAAGCAGCTAAATATACACCCCACACCCCCACGCAGGGCTCCGTTCCATTAAAGCGCTTTATTTAGTGGCTTAGCTGCCATTTTACCCGTATATAGTCTTTTTCCCCTTCTTGCGTATACCTGCCCCCACAAGGAGGCGTCAGGAGGACGGATAGAGCTCTCAGTAGCTTCTGGCACATCCTTACAAGCAGTATCCTGAACCAAATAAGGCTGAATCTCGTAATTAAATGTACAGCGTGTCAGAGCTCTTAGGTGGCCCCTGCAACCCCAGAAATACACATTTGCTCAATAAGCGAAGCGGTGAGGCGGCGGCCTTTCATGAAGAGCCTCATGGATGAAGCGCCGGCTGTGAATGCTGTACTCAGCATGAGGTCATCCTGACGACAGCATCCAGTATGCCAATCACAGCAGACGAAGTCCCCTGTCATAAAGAAGCAGCCAATCAGATTGGACCACTTATACATTCATTACAGAATTACACTCATGGGTATCTGTTACAGGTTTGTTTCCTGTTGGTTTCAGTAGTTTCAGTTTTCAGTTTTATTTGTCATATGCAAGTTAGCACAGGGTCAACATTACAATGAAATGTGATTGACGAGAATAAACAAGCCTCTCAGCAATACTGTATATTACAGAGATGTAAGACAACGTTCTTACACATGAAATAAAGTGACAAGAGTGAGCAGCAGTGCAATTGTCAACGATTTAAGGTGGCAGTCAAGTAACAGTATTGCACAGAGTAAGAGTTTTTTACTTTTATTTTTTATTATAATAAACGACGAGAGCATTAAATGGGATTTTAATAAAAGCCTTTTGAGTTTCTGTATAGTACAAACATTTTGTGGCATTTACTTCAGTAAGACACAAGTCACAGGTCTCCGAAACACTGTCCTTTTTTTGTTGTTTTTTAGATGAGAATGCCAATGATCTAACGGCAAGCTTCTTCATCATATGTTGCCATATTTGGAACAAAAACTCATTTAGTCCTCATTTAATTCAGAGAAGAACACTTGTTAAATTTGCCAAAACTTAAATCTTATTTACTTATGAACTGGACTGAGTGAGTATTGGAAATTTGCTATTCAGTTGGCCATTTAACGAAGTATTATGTAAAAATTTGTTGTTCATATTTGAAACGGAATAAGTATTATATATAATTAATTAGAATTAATTATTAAGATATTCATGTGCACAGCCCCAGTCTGGATTATTGCATTTCTGCGGCTGTTTCTCCAGCCTTGAGTTGCTCATTGTAAGTGAGGATATTTTGTTTAACAGTCTTATTTCTCTGCAGAAATGCCTACATGGGGAGCAGCAGTTGTGTTTTGCAAATATCATTTGCAGCGAGTCTTTACATCATCACCTCTGCCTGGCCACTCGCGTCCGTCACCCGCTCCGAGTAGCATTGTCATACTGTAACTATGGGCAAGCAGACGGCCTGCAACCTTCTGGCAGCAACTCAGACACTAACAGGAGCAGAAATGGAGGCCTGAAATAAACAATAGCAGTAATGGTCCAGTGCTGTTTATTGTATTACTGGAGGAAGCCCATGGTTAATGGAAATGTTAAAGGACATAAGGGCTAGAACTGATCATCAAATAATGCCTCTGGGGACATGTGCTTAGGAGGTACTTAAAGGCAGTGACTCTCTGCACACGCACACTCACACAAACATTCATATACACCAGCACTCACCAAAAAAATAAAACATACACCAAGAGATGCACAAAACTCTCATGTCAGCCTATGGATTTGTGCCACTGTACTGCAGCAGTGCACTGCTTGACCCTCGGCACCTGTCGCAATGGTGCTGCTGTGCCAGGGATCTTAGCCTATTCCTCTGATCTCACTGTCATCCTGGAGTCCTGTAGAGTGCTGCAAGAACAACCCCAGGGTCACTACAAGAACAAGACCAGCCCTGGGGTAACTGCAAGAACAAGACCAGCCCTGGGGTCACTGCAAGAACAAGAACAGCCGTGGGGTCATTGCAAAAATAAGAACAACCCCGTGGTCACTGCAAGAACAAGAACTGCCCCAAGGTCACTGCAAGAACGATAACAGTCCCGAGGCAACTGCAAGAACGAGAACAGTCTTGGGGTCACTGCAAGATCAAGAACAGCCTCGGGGTTACTGCAAGAACAAGAACAACCCCGGGGTCACTGCAAGAACAAGAACTGCCTCAAGGTCACTGCAAGAACGATAACAGTCCCGAGGCAACTGCAAGAACGAGAACAGTCTTGGGGTCATTGCAAGATCAAGAACAGCCTCGGGGTTACTGCAAGAACAAGAACAACCCCAGATCACTGCAAGAACAAGAACAGCCCCGCGATCACTGCAAGAACAAAAACATCCTGGGGGTAACTGTAAGAACAAGAACAGCCCCAGAGTCACAAAATTGTCATGCCAGCTGTATAGAACCTAGAATCCCGTTGTGTTAATATGCTAATGAAAGAGTTTTGAAAGAATTTCTGTCATGGGAACGGCTCAACCCCTAAATTATTGTTGTCTCCTTGGCTGACGTACTGTATTTCAGTGTTTACGAAGTCCAACCTGTCATTTTGAAAGAGCTGTGGTACTTGCACCAATGGCTGTCTAATCACTTTTCATCAGTCCCTTATGTTGCCAAATTGCTCTTCCATCTTGGCTGTATGTTTTGTAGTTGCAGTTGTTTATTCATCTATGGGGTTGATATTGAAGCCAGTGAGGAGGGTGCTTATCAATCCACACATCCACTTTTGTGATTATTCCCTGTCTCTGCAGGATGAAGAACAAACTCTGGTATTTTGAGTTTGGCACCACAGAGACCATCTCAGCCACATGCAAGAAGCTGAATGAGAGTCTGGAGGTAGAGGTGAGTCTGGCATCCTGGGACTTCCCTTTCCAGAAAGGCTCCATTGTGTGCTTTTCAAAGATCCTGACATTCACAAAGAAAGCCAGAACATGACTTGTTTCTCTAGTTCATAACTGAGTAAGGTTTGTATCCTCATAGAAACAACAGCCTGTTCTGTTTTACAAGTAAAACTTAATTTTATCATAAAATTATTTTTTAACAGTGTTCATATTATAATATGCAACTGCCCACCTAATTACATATTATGTGAGTATAATTTTAATATTTTTATTTCATCATTCAAACACAATACTATCTAGTACAGGGTTATAGTCTTAGTCTATTTTTGGTCCCCACAAGTAGAAACTCAATTTTATAAAAAAGAACTAAAAATGTCAGAAGTTTTTAGTTTGGTTACTTAAGGTTGTCATAGATAGGATTAGGGTTTTTCCCATAGAAATGAATGGACGGTCCCCAGAAAGATGGATACAAACGTGTGTGTGTGTGTTCTATTAATAATGATATTAAAATGTGTTTCTTCAGTTAAATATGTGCGAAAGAATGTAAATATGCAGTGTATTGGCACTTTAGGTAATGATTTTATGGAAGTGGTGTCAGTTTCTTTATAAACAGTCTCATATAATTTCCGTGGATTCATGAACTTTAATAGATGTACACAGCAGTGACTTATAATACATCAGATTCCTCAATCAATTGTTGTCCTCATATGTCTTGATTGATTCATTTATATTTCACGATTTCATTCAACCATAGTGGCCACTCTGAATGTGTTGTGAAGACCAAGTGTAGAAGCAGTCCTTCAACTTCAGGCTGTTAATAAGCACAGGAAATGCTGGGACCTCGCTCTCACACAGAATGTGCTCTTAGGGTGGCTTCCTCACTATTTTTGTGGGTTTTAATGAATGTGCCAGTCAGTCTCTGGAAAGCTACTTCTGTCTCGAGTGCCCTGTGACTCCCTCGCTTCTCTTTCTCCACTGTCCCACCTCCCTGCTCTTCTTCCCCCTCAGTGTGACGGCATCCTTCTTGACCTCAGCAGCACATCGCTGGAGGGGATCGCAGTCCTCAACATTCCCAGCATGCACGGCGGCTCCAACCTTTGGGGTGAGACCAAGAGGAGGAGGAACTACAGCCGCATGAGCAAAAAGGTGCCAGAAAGGGCGCCGGTGAATACTGTGACTGACGCCAAAGAGCTCAAGTTCTGCGTCCAAGGTGAGCTGATTTCTGGGGGGGCGGGGGGGGTTGTTATAAAGCTCCTTTTTATAATCTATGGAAACCTTTCAGATCAGACTTTTCGTCTGTGCTACATTTATTTGCAGAGTGGTCAGGTAATAAGTTTTATAAAATTGCAAATGGAAATGATCTCATTAAATTCACACTGAGTGCCTAAAACACACTTCAGCAAACCGCATTTTGTAGTGTTGTGAAACCACTTTGTGTCCAGCAGAATTTATTACTGCACCTGGTTTGGAAGAAAAAGTATCCAGCAAGTATCCAAGCTGTGCACAAAACAGTGAGAATTTTCCAGACAGACAAAAAGCAAACAAGAATGGAGCTTTTCTTGGCTGAAGGTGGGGTTTGCCTCACGGAACGTGTTCAGCGGCTTCAGCTATAAATGGAGACATGACTCACCTAAATGCTGGAGACACCAGTGGATAAGTTAGCTAGGATGAATAAGCTAACTGGCCCTCAAGTGCTCATACTTTCATTTTATAGCACATGGCAGGACATCGTAGCCTCATTTGCCTTTTATCAGAGATGCTACTGGATGAATATGGAGACTTAATTACCTTCAGTCCAGGTTTTAACGTTAGCTGATGGAACTGTAAATTTATAAAGGCCCCTGAATGTCTGAATGCAACATACCTATCTCACAGACTGAGATTATAAATCATCTTAAAATAAATAACTAATTTATGAGCCTGTAATCAAGGAAATGTCACCTCACAGTAAAATCACCCATTGAGGGGTCAATCCACTTCATTTATTTGTAATGACCATGTTGCTCCGAAGCTTATTGGCGCGTCCTAAATATTTTAGAATGGAGCCTAAAGTCAACAAGGACCAGCTCTCTAAAGGCTCCATTAATAGGCCTCAAGCCCCTAGTGGTGGCGAAAAATGCCATTAGCTTTTACTGGCATTAAAGCGAGGACAGAGGAGCAGGACAAGGAGACTCTACTAAACCCCCATCAAAAAAAAAAAACCTAATTAACTCTCCAACCTTCATCAAATGGCCTCAGAAGAGGATGTCAAGATAGAGGCAGAGGCAGCCATGAGTAGGTCTACCAAAAACTGTAATGTTGACTAACTTAATGAACTGTTGCTTCTGAACAGGCACCTCCAAGATTTGCATCATTGCCGCTATTACGCATTAGCTCTGTATGCAGCCAAATATTTTACTGCTGCAGCTGGAGGGGAACTTTTCTCTAGACAACAACAGTAAACAGCCTTGTGGGACCTTAGATGACAACTTTTCTGTTGCAGTTCCTGTTCTTTAACCCTCATATTACTGCCTATCCAGGAACCATCCAAGCCACTCTCCCCTGTCACTATTTGTCAGCTGGTGTCCCTTTAAGTGACACTTCTGTCATTCTATCTCCCATCGTTTTCCCCGATGCTCAGCAGCTTGCGCTGACTGTGGTTCCCATGGAGACCTACGGGTAATGCTTAGCTAAAGAGCAACAGTAAGTGATGAAGACAAGGGCTGCTTGTGTGACTCATGTCTGCAGCGGTTTAACCACCATCCAGGCAGAGCTACATTATCAGCATCTTGCCGTCTCTTGTGCCCCTATCTTCCCTGACACACGCCTTCACGTTTGTACTGCCATCTATATTCCCTAACACGCTCCCTCACATTCACACTGCCATCTGTCTTCCTTAACACGCTCCCTCACATTCACACTGCCATCTGTCTTCCTTAACACGCTCCCTCACATTCACACTGCCAT